TTTTTTTTTTTTTTTTTGGAACAGTTTGAGGATTTGGTTTTGTATTGGAGGTGGGTTTTTCCCTAATGGGATGCACGGACAATTGCTACTCAGCCTAATCAAGGCTCTAGGATGGCTGTCATTTCTTCAGTCACCTTATTTGACTTAGAGTTTAAACTTGAGTTTTTCATGTTTCTTTTAAGGCACTTGTAATATGAGGGTTTTTTTAATTGTAGATATTAAGAAGCATACAGCAGAAGAGAACCCAGATAAAATAACTCTAGAGAGAGCCATTGAATCATTAAAGGAAGTGATGACGTAAGCAATGTTCATTCTATGAAATGTACATTTGGATCTCTCTGTTCCTTCTAAATTGCTCTTAGTGTGTTGTTGCTGTACCTTTAGTCTCCACATATACGTAATTGTATGTGTTCTCCCTTTTGTCGCTGTTGTCTCTCTGTCATTCTGTCCCAGAGCTCTTGAAGGACTTTGTGGTGTTGTTACCCAGCTCTTCTGCCTGAATGTCTGCTGATTTCCTGCCCCAGCACAAAGCTGAACTTTCTGAGATCTTATTTCCATCTATTCCCTCCAGAATGGAAGGGATGTGATTTTGTCTTTAGAACTTACTTCTCTGCATCTATCAACTGAAAGGACATGCTATTGGTAGAAGATTAGATTCTTTTCTGGTCCTGTATTAGCTATTCTTGGCACCGTTCCGTGAGTTAATTAGCTTAAAGCTGAAGCTGTTTAGATTGTAAGTCTCACCTCTTCTGAAGTGTAGCTTATGTCTCCAGCAATGAGACCTCCTGTATTAGTTGGGTAAATGTTTGTCTGATTTTTGACAACAACAACTACTTCTAAATTGTAATTATTCTTGCATTTGCTTTTTGGTGAGCTGCAGCCCTGATCTAGGGGGATAAAATGCAGGCTGGAAAGAACTGCATTGAGTTGGTCTCTAGTTCAAAGTCCTGTGGGGCAGGGGTGTGGAATTATATATTAACTGAATGGTGTGTCAGCCACTGATAACGAGAACATTGTTTTAGGTCTGAAGTTTCCTATGTGCTTAGCATAAGGGATCTGGATATTTCAGTGAGCAAGTGTGGTTGATTTTGTATTTCCCAGTGCTGCTGTGTAAACTGAATGTTACTGCTGTGTAAACTCTGAATGTGCCTTTCAGTGTGTCTTAAATATGGTGCGTTTATTTACTGTTGCTTGATACTGAAGATAAATATCATGTGCTTCCCTCAGACATATTAATGAAGACAAAAGAAAAACAGAGGCACAAAGGCAGTTCTTTGACGTCGTCTATGAAGTTGATGGATGTCCTGTAAGTAATTTCTCTGAAGCTGCAGATCTGTAAAATGCTCCTTTTGCCAGCAATGGTGCTGTTTAAAAAGATATCCAGTGCAAGCAGTAATCCAGCCCTTGAACTAAATGCTTAATGAGCTTTTTGCTTCTATCATTTAGGCCAATCTCTTGTCCTCTCACCGAAGCTTAGTTCAGCGTCTGGAAACCGTAGCGCTTGGCGATGACCTCTGTGACAGGGGAGAACAGGTCACACTCTTTCTCTTCAATGATTGCCTAGAGGTAAGATGACTATAGAAGTGCATCTCATGAACTGAATTCTAAAAACACTTAATGCTACTTATGAATATAAACACAAGCAGTAATCCAGCCCTTGAACTAAATGCTTAATGAGCTTTTTGCTTCTATCATTTAGGCCAATCTCTTGTCCTCTCACCGAAGCTTAGTTCAGCGTCTGGAAACCGTAGCGCTTGGCGATGACCTCTGTGACAGGGGAGAACAGGTCACACTCTTTCTCTTCAATGATTGCCTAGAGGTAAGATGACTATAGAAGTGCATCTCATGAACTGAATTGTAAAAACACTTAATGCTACTTATGAATATAAACAAGTAAAACTTAAAAACCTGAAGCAGAATTCTACAGAAGGCTATTGTGCTTTCCTGTATAATAGAAGGCAAAAGAGTACAAAGTGATGGTAATAGACCTTCTAACTTGAATCTTTGTCTTCTACTTAACTGTAGATTGCAAGGAAACGGCATAAGGTCATTGGTGCTTTCAAGAGTCCTCATGGCCACACGAGGCCTCCTGCATCTCTCAAGCATGTTGTTCTCATGCCTCTTTCCCAGATCAAGAAAGTCTTGGACATCAGGGAGACAGAAGGTCTGTATGTTTTGAAGTGCGGTGACAGCTAATGAAAACTGGTGCAGAGTATAAAGGATGAAGGTCTGCTGTTGTGGGATAGAAGGCTAAGGTGTATTTGTTGTATGGTATGTTGGGTATGTGATTTTTTTTTTTGTATAAGCTTCTGTTTGAAGCTCTGTATGAGCTTGAGAATTCCTTGAATTGACACCTTTTGACTTCTCAAGGATCGCTGCAGGATGTTGAATTTAGTAGAACTAGATGGCATTAGCATAAGCCAACCAAATGGCAGTGTGACTTAGAGGAGCACACTTAACAGCTCTGGATTTACAAATTGAAACCAAAAACCCAAACTTCAGTCCAGAGCATTAGACTGCCTAGATACAAGTGCTGTTGCTGTGAAACCACATCTTCATTTAACTGGTGATAGCGATGCTCAGGAGGAACTGTGCTTAGCATCTTAGAAGAAAGATAGAGATGATTTAAATTCTCTGGCTGCTTTGCCATACTGAGACTGCGGGGGTTTCAGTGAAGCAATGCATTGCTACAGCAGCAGAACTTATGCTACAATAGTGTTCCAGTCTTGGTAGTGACTTCTTTAGGAGTCTAGTCAGACTAGTGTCTAGATCTATACACTAGAAAATTAGATTGAATATTTCACTGTAGGTGGTGGTGCGCACATCGTACTTGTCCTGCTTTATATTCTCTGAAGCACCTGAACATAGGAAGCCCAATGAGAAATAGAAATGGCAAAGAGGGTACATAGTAAATGTGATGCCTACCTGCATTTTTAAAAGGTACTTTAGGGGGTTTTTTTTAAGTCTCTTTAAATTACTGTGTATCACTTAAGTTTACTTTGGGACTTGGGCAAAGGGAGCCATTTGTAAGCAGAGCATCTAATATTTGCCAGGAACTTCAGCACACAAATCTTGGGAGAAGTCAGCTACTCCCTCCTGCATACGCTCTTATAGGGCTGCTTTTCTGATTGGCAATGGGTGTTTTTCCTTTCTCTCAACTGTATTTAGAATGGTTCAGCTGTCTGCTTTAAAGGAGTGTCAGCAATGGATTAATTTTCTGCTATCAAATGAGCAATGTTTGTCAAGTTTTAAACAGTAAAACCATTGTAACTTGTCTATTTTAACGTGTCATATTTAGTTTTGATGTCTTTGTTGTTTTTCCTGCTTTAGAAAATAGGATAAATGTTGTTTTCCCTGTTCTGTTGGTAAAGAAATGATCTGTCTGACATATCATGAGTTAGAGAATGAGACTGATATTTACTACTATATCTAGTAAAGACTGACAAGTCTGCAGTTGATGGGATGCAGGTTATTTGGTGAATAATCAATTGTTGCATGAACAGCTGATGGTAGCCCCTTGATGAAGGATGCAGAGAGAACTCGGTGCTCTTGCAAGTGATACAATAGCTATCGTACAAATGAAGATAAAATCCTTGAACCAAATCATATTCTTCTGAACTCTAGCTCCTGGCAGGTGGAGGGTTAACTTTTTTGAGGATTCCCCCTGAATTATATGAAAAATTATTATTCTTTGTCTTAACCCTTTACTTTTTCTTATAAACTGCAGATTGCCGTAAAGCTTTTGCCTTAGTTGTGCGGCCGCCAACAGAACTCAACAATAAGCTCCTCAGCTTCCAGATGACAACTGAAGAACCTCCTAAAGAAGACTGGTTGAAGACGTTGTGTCGGCACGTGGCTAACACTATTTGTAAAGCAGATGCAGTAAGTGCTCTGGAACCATGTTGCTGATGGGAAATATTTCTTCCTTTTTTTTTGCTTGAAGCACATGAAGCTAAAGAACTTGTTAATAGTGGACATGCTTGAGGTGAAGTAGAGCAGAAAATATTTGTGCTAGCACGTCTGCAAGTGAGTGGTTAAAAGGTGGAAAAGGAAACAGCCTGGAAGTTAGCTTCTACAGTAGCTAATGAGTACTTAAAACATCAAGAATCAAGCCCTTCCCCCACCACAAATTAATTATAAATAATTTAAATTCTGCACTGCAGATCTTCAGTAGGGCAGGTCTAAACAGAATTGACATCAGCTTGCTTCTTCCATGGCTTTGTTTCAATATGCGATCCTGGCATTATGAATCATATGTTCTGGTTTAACTCTGTGTTAGGTGGAATTCTTTGTTCTACACATTTGTCTGCTTGGGCACTGTAATGTAAGAGACAGAGCATCCTCCTCCTATAGACACAAACCTATAGTCTGAAAACAAGGAAATTAAGGAGGCACTGGCCTCCTCACACTTCTAGAAACTTCAGTGTGTGGGCTTTCCACAGTCAGAAAACTACTAATTTGAAGAGTAGATCCTCTCCAATTAGGGCAAGAGGCTAATGTTTTAGTTACATAAGGGCTAAGCAAATGTTTTAATTATGTAAGAGCTTATGCATATCAGTCATCCAAATATGCTGAAAATATGTACAGTACATATAGTTCAAACAACTTGGGTTTAAGCTAGAAATGTCTTGTGTTCTCATTGTACTCTTACTGTACAACGTTTGGTTCTCTGTAACTTTTAGAGATGCTTAGAACCATAGAATAGTTGGAGCTGCTTGTTTCAGGAGAGGTAGTTAAGTAATCAAAATAGCATCTTAGTTTTGTTTTGTTTGGCTTGTCATCTAAGGACTTATTCATAAGAAACTTGGCTTTGTGCTTTTTGTTCCTTTTTAGGTACTGAGTAGGAAAAGTACTGATTCAGAAATGTTAATTTACTTTAATCTGTCTGTCGCTTATCTTCAGTCTCTTGTGTTATATATAACACAAAAGGATGGAAAAACGTTGGGTTTTTTAATAGCAATTAAATCTTTGTGTAATAAAAGTATCACTCCCTCTTGCCCCAGGACATTCAGAATCATACCATTATAGTTTGGATTGGAAGGGACTGTTAAAGGTCATCCAGTCCAACCTCCCTGCAATGAGGAGGGACATCTTCCACTAGACCAGGTTGCTCAGAGCCCCATCCAACCTAGCCTTGAATGTTTCCAAGGATTGGGCACCTCTCTGGGCAACCTGGGCCAGGGTTTCACCACACTCATTGTTCAAAAAAAAAAAACAATCTTCCTTATTTAGTCTAAATCTTCTCTCTTTTAGTTTAAAGCCAATATCCCTTGGCCTGTCACTACACCCACTGTAGAATCCCTCCCCATCTTTCCTGTACAACCCCTGTTAAGTACTGAAAGGCTGCAATAAGGTCTCTGTTGGAGCCTTCTCTTCTCCAGGCTGAACAACTCCAACTGTCTCAGCTTGTCCTCACAGCAGAGGGGCTCCAGCCCTCAGATCACCTCCAACAGGTCCATGTGCTTCTTATGCTGGGAGCCACAAGAGCTGGATGCAGTAGTCCAGGTGGGGTCTCACCAGAGTAGAGGGACAGGAACACTTCCCTCACCCTGCTGGCCACGCTGCTTTTGATGCAGCCCAGGATGTGGTTGGGTTTCTGGGCTGTGAGTGCAGTGTCAGCTTGTGTTCAGCTCTTCATCCACCAGTACCCCCAACTCCTCCTCAGCAGGGCTGCTCTCAATCCCTTCATCCCCCAGCCTGTGTTGATACTGGGGGTAGCCCTGACCCAGCTGCAGGACCTTGCACTTGGCCTTGTTGAACTTTGAGCTTCACATGGCTCCACTTCGTGAGCTTGTCCAGGTCCCTCTGGATGTCATCCTCTCCCTTAGACGTGTCAACTGCACCACTCAGCTTGGTGTCATCATAGAAGGCCACTAGGTTGGTCAGGCAGGACTTCACCTTGGTGGAACCACGCTGCCTGTCTTGAACAACCTCCCATAGTACTGACAAATTGTAACCTACTATGTCAAATCCCATTAGTTATATTTTCTGTAACTACTGCTTTGTACCAACTATATAATACTTTTTTCTTGCCGATTTAAATGTCAAATTGAGCTTCAGTTCAAGCACAGTTCCCCTTTTCCCTGGTTTTCAACAACTCTGTGGCATCATGTGAGAATGAGATGGCATTGACTTTGCCACATGGTGGCAGTAAAGGCTTTAACTACTACTGTTAGACACTAGGCAAAGTTGGTACAAACTGATTTAAATGTCAAATTGAGCTTCAGTTCAAACCTTGGTGGAACCATGCTGTCTGTCTTGAACAACCTCCCATAGTACTGACAAATTGTAACCTACTATGTCAAATCCCATTAGTTATATTTTCTGTAACTACTGCTTTGTACCAACTATATAATACTTTTTTCTTGCCGATTTAAATGTCAAATTGAGCTTCAGTTCAAGCACAGTTCCCCTTTTCCCTGGTTTTCAACAACTCTGTGGCATCATGTGAGAATGAGATGGCATTGACTTTGCCACATGGTGGCAGTAAAGGCTTTAACTACTACTGTTAGACACTAGGCATAGCCATACAGTTGCTGTCTGGGGTCCTTATTTATTTTTTTCCC